TGACAGGCTCAATACTACCAATTTCAAGATCATCAAATGGATCTCTGCTCAAAAAGACCTGAATCCTAATCGTCCATGAAGCAATGCGGCCCTGATCATTACACGGATGGAGCCCATTAAAATTGGGATCCAATGGAATTAGTACTTACTGGGATTGGGACCTGTTACTACTAAGATCCATTCCTAATGGTAAGATTGGGCTGGGACCTCCTATTTGACGAATCAACAGCTGATAGAGAGGGCATGATCCCTCCAAAACACAAAACAGATTAGATAATAATCTGTAAACCAGGATAATGGAAACCATGACAGCTGGGGGAGGAATCCGATACCCTCATAGACGGCGTGAGGGAAACGAAGGTTGAAAGACTTTCATATCGACAGCGACGGGACCACAGGCGACAACAAAAGCGGCCTAAGGACAACGTTCATTTAAAACTGCTGTGGGATGCGAAGGACTCCAGACGTAGCTGATGAATACAACGTTATCAATGACTACGACAGCTTGGACGTACCTGAGATATGGTGTGTTAATGAAGAGCTGTTTTAACGCAAACTTACCTGGAAAAAACAAGGAAAAATCCAGTTGAGGTTACCTGCCGTCTATCTCACACCCACACACCTATATTATTATTCACATTACACTTGCAGGAACAACTAAGGCAGAACCAATGATCTTAAGCATTAATTTATGCCAAATGGATGACTAAGAGAACTTGTTCAGTAATTATGTCAAGAACACGGATCTTTTCGGTTTCATGTACCGCACTCACAGAACAAAAACAGTAGTATACTTAGTAGTTACCTTTGTGCTGGTGCTAGTGGAAGCCATGGCGTCATGCAGGGTCACCTCCTGGCACCGTCTTGACACTTTTATGACACCTCATGGTTCTTGATGACACCTTGCTGTTCCCCATGACACACTTTACACCTTGCGATGGTCGATGACACTTTGCAAAACTTTACAACATTAATTACACTGAACGATACTTTAAGAGACTTTTAGGCATTAATGGTACTTTATTAACACCTTTGTGATATCAATTAAACTTTACAACACTTTCAGAGACTCCACAGTCACTTACGACACTTTTCGATATCGTATGACACTATTGTATGTTGCTTGGGCACTTTCTAACTATTCGAGGCTTCAAGGCTTTGTAACAATTTATATCACTATATGGCATTGTACGGCACTTTAGAACACTTTGTCACCTTGGGATACTTCAAAACACTTTTGGACGCTTCATGACAATTCAGGGCACTTTGACACCTTAGGACACTTCATAACACACCTCTGACACTTCATAGCACTTTCTTATTGTGCACCACATATTGTGACATTATACAACACTTATAGACTTAACGGTACTTCATCAGACCTACTGGCTTCTTAAAATCACTTGATAAAACTTCTGGTTACTGCATGAATCTTTGTGACATAGCGTGACACATTATGAATCTAATACCTTATGCAACTTTAAGACACTTTATATCACTCTTATGATACGCATGGGTGTTTTTTGGCCCTCATTATTACTTTGTGACACTTACTGTATTTGTCTTCATAATGCAAACACTTTACAACACTTATAACATTTGACGTTACTTACGGACACGTTCTGATATATGTGATCACTTTACGATACTTATGAAAATTTTACGGCACTTAAAATCACTTTTTGAAACTTTAGACCACTCTCAGATACTTACAGTAGAACTACTTAGCAACACTTATAAACACTTTGTGACACTTTATACACTTCATGACACTTACACACACTTTACTACACTGACAAACACTTTACGATACTTTTCAGTCCTAATCAATTTTAGTCTCCGCCTCACCGGCAATTTGTTTGTCTAGAAGCCTCCGTATACTTGTAACTATTTACGACACTTATAAACACTTTACTACATTAACGAACACTTGACGATACTTTACAGTCCTCTTCAATTTCACTCTCTTCATCAGCTATTGTTTGTCTATATGCCTTCGTGTACCTCCTTACCGGCACTAAGGTAGAGACAGCACTGTGTACGTCTTGTCTTGTTAGAGGCCTCTGTTGACATTCTCATAAATCCGAAACCACGAAATGAGGCAGATTCAAGACTTGAGCGAACCGGCCAAACCTCGTCCCAGTGCTATAAGGGATTGTGTTTGGTCGTGTTTTACTCATTCGTTTCTCCACACATTTAGCTTTAGAGATCTTTGTCTTTATCTGTTCAAAATTATAAAGTATAAAACAATGTATTGCAAAAGATTATAGGCCAATATTTTGGTTCGTATAATGGTTCGTTTTTGGATGATTGAGTCTGATGTATCGAAAAGCTGTTCCTGAACCCTAGAAACACTTACGTCATCGATGTCTCAAAGTGGTGTCATTCAACTGGTGACAAAATGTATCCAGATGTGTTTATATTGTTTATCTTTCTTTATTTGTTTATAAAAGACAAACAAACAAACGAGAAACAAGCGGATGTAAGATAAGTCTGTATTAAACATAACAAATAACGATAGAACACATTTAAATATATTTTTTATTCCGAAAGTCAACGGTTTCGAAGACGTGTGTGTTGTCTCAGGACTACCAACCCAGACCACGACTAAACCAGAGCTACCAACAGTCTCCACACATCTGTCTGGTATATTGTGTGGTTTAATATGTTAGACAGACTACAGACAACCACAGAAAGTTAATCATCTTAAACTTAATTCATGAAAGGTTTTGAAAGACAAGATGTTAGGCGTTTCTTAGTTTACCTGTGTAATTAATCAAACTATTAACTACTGTATGACAGTTTGTAGCGTCCATACACCGATTATCTTCACGTCACTTTATAGAACATTATTTTACGCCCAGCAGCATGGGTAATTCTAAGATTAGATCTTTTCTGGTTGGCAGCTTCTGTCGAGAGTTACTACCACTCTCTATCATCCATGAAACTATCCAGCCTCCTTTTGAAACTTTCCAGCGTTCCAGCACTTAATAAAAAGTTGCTAAGCTTGTTCCACTCGTCCACCACCCTATTTGTGAACCAGTTCCTTCCTATCTCCCTCCTAAACCTAAACTTATCCAACTTGAATCCGTTGCTCCGAGTCCTATCCTGCTCGGATATTATAAGAACTTTATCTATATCCCCTTTATTGATTCCTTTCACCCACTTAAATACTTCTATTATATCTCCCCGCACTCTTCGTCTTTCTAGGGAGTGCAAGTTTAGTTTCATTAACCTATCTTGATATTGAAGGTTTCTAAGTCCTGTAATCATTTTCGTCATTCTTCGCTGCACCGACTATAGTGAATTGATATCCTTTCTATAATAAGGGCACCAGAACTAAACCGCATAATCGAGGTGCGGCCTGACTAGCGCAAGATATAGTTGCAATAAGATCTCTGCACTCTTATTACTTACACTTCTAGATATAAAACCCAATACTCTGTTTGCCTTATTTCGAACATTAACGCACTGTTTTCTGGGCCGTAGGTCCGGGCTTACAAGTACCCCTAGGTCTCTTTCACAAGTCGACTTCTCTAGGTTGATGTTGTTAAGGCTGCATACTTTGACAGTATTTGTTCTTCCAATATTAAGTACGCTGCACTTGCTGGTGTTGACTTTCATTTGCCATTTTTCTGACTACTCCTGCAGTTTATTTAGATCCTCCTGTAGTGCATTTGCATCCTGTCCTGAATTAATCTGCCGCCCTATTTTGGTGTCATCCGAAAACTTGCTTATTACTAATACAGGTGTGAGAAGTTGACTGGGGTGGTTAAGGAAAACCCCCAATACCGGCTAACCAAATTATACCTAAAGTAGGTTAGGTGAGGTTAAATTTCTTTAGGTAAGGTTAGATTTGGTTATCTATGAAACTATGAATCTATATAATCATCTACAGCCACTCAAAAGTTTCGAAAACACACACACACATATATATATATCAAGATATATATATATATATATATATATATATATATATATATATATATATATATATATATATATATATATATATATATATATATATATCTTGATAAAATCACACAGGAAAAAGGGAAACAATGGAGTACTTTAGATTTCATCTTTATTCGAGACATCTTCAGAGGCAACTGAATTACAAGGACTGAGAGGCCTTACAAGACATGAGGTCAGGTCAAAAATATGACATCCGCTAATCCACACACCGCAAACATAAGAGGAGCTTAAAAGAAAGGGCGACGTAACTAGCCATGTTAAGTCAGGTCAAACATATGGGACCCACCAATCATCTGTCCTACATCTAACTCGAAGGCTTTCAAAGCATTTTGAACCTTGGGCCACTGACAAAAAAATTTGTGTAACATATTATCAGTTTTGTACTGACCATCACTAAGGTTTATAGAATTCAATTCTCTAATCAAACTATCTCAACCAGAAGTCTTTCTGTGACACATGATGATTTGTACACTTCTAAACTGTTTTCCCAATCTATGGGATGATTATTGTAGGTCAGACTGGGAAAGCATTGCAACTCGGAATTAAACAGCACAAGTACAGTAACAGAACAGCATCTGAAAGCAATGCACTGTTCGTTCATATAAGGAACAATAATCAAGGGTCAGGAATTGGGTAAATAGTGTACACGGCCTCCTGGAGTTGTTTTGATCTTACTTGGAAGGAATAAAAAAACTGAACACATTCCAGATACACAAACGAGAGTGGTTATAACAGAATACCTCTGATCTAACACCAACCCCGAGGTATAAAACTCTCTTTATCGCCCTAATTTTTAGTTAATTTCCTACACTTCGTTTATCTGAATATCTTCCTGACAAAAATACCGAACTGCTTTATGTGATTCTGTTAGATAAATGTATCATTGGTCTGTTCACAATGGTATTATCTTTTTTACAAATGCATAATATAAATTGTTCAAACATAATAATAAGAAAAAACCCCAGAGAAATACCGGAATAACCAAACAGCTTTTATGTAAATTTACAAAGATGACTTAAAGATGCACTAATGTCAATAAATAAATCAGTCATGAACGGCGAGGAGTCAAACAGAACCACACATTTCGAGGACAGTGGAGGTGGCATTGAGAATTAGTTGTAGCTGTACCCATGGAGTCCGGACACCCCGCCACCGCCACCGCCACTGCCACCGCCACCGCCGACGCCACCTACACCGCCACCGCCACCGCTACCACAATGGCTAGGGGCGGTGACGGTCTGGGTGACGGTGACGTACTGCTGCTCCGTCCTTGTCTCTGTGACGGGGTAGTGAGTGGTGAGTGTCTGGGTGAAGTATCGCGGCTGCTGGATGGTGCGAGTTACCTGATCCCTCACAGTTCTTGTCTGGAACACCGTCTGGAACTGTGTCTGGATCTGTAGAGAGGAGAACAGAGTTAGGTAGGAGAACAAGATGAGGCAGGAGAACAAGATGAGGCAGGAGAACAAGATGAGGCAGGAGAACAAGAAGAAGCAGGAGAACAAGAAGAGGCAGGAGAACAAGAAGAAGCAGGAGAACAAGATGAGACAGGAGAACAAGATGAAGCAGGAGAACAAGATGAGGCAGGAGAACAAGATGAGGCAGGAGAACAAGATGAAGATGGAGAACAAGATGAGGCAGGAGAACAAGATGAGGCAGGAGAACAAGATGAGGCAGAGAACAAGATGAGGGAGAACAAGATGAGGCAGGAGAACAAGATGAGGCAGGAGAACAAGAAGAAGCAAGAGAACAAGAAGAGGTGAGAACAAGATGAAGCAGGAGAACAGGATGAGGCAGGAGAACAAGATGAAGCAGGAGAACAAGAAGAGGCAGGAGAAAAGAAGAAGCAGGAGAACAAGATGAGGCAGGAGAACAAGATGAGGCAGGAGAACAAGATGAGGCAGGAGAACAAGAAGAAGCAAGAGAACAAGAAGAGGCAGGAGAACAAGATGAAGCAGGAGAACAGGATGAGGCAGGAGAACAAGATGAAGCAGGAGAACAAGATGAGGCAGGAGAACAAGATGAGGCAGGAGAACAAGATGAAGCAGGAGAACAGGATGAGGCAGGAGAACAAGATGAGGCAGGAGAACAAGAAGAAGCAAGAGAACAAGAAGAGGCAGGAGAACAAGATGAAGCAGAGAACAAGGATGAGCAGGAGAACAAGATGAAGCAGGAGAACAAGATGAGGCAGGAGAACAAGATGAGGCAGGAGAACAAGATGAAGCAGGAGAACAAGATGAGGCAGGAGAAGAAGCAGAGAGAAGAAGCAGGAGAACAAGATGAGGCAGGAGAACAAGATGAAGCAGGAGAACAAGATGAGGCAGGAGAAGAAGCAGGAGAACAAGATGAGGCAGGAGAAGAAGCAGGAGAACAAGATGAGGCAGGAGAAGAAGCAGGAGAACAAGATGAGGCAGGAGAACAAGATGAGGCAGGAGAACAAGATGATGAGGCAGAGAACAAGATGAGGGCAGGAGAACAAGATCAAGAAGAAGCAGGAGAACAAGATGAGGCAGGAGAAGAAGCAGGAGAACAAGATGAGGCAGGAGAAGAAGCAGGAGAACAAGATGAGGCAGGAGAACAAGATGAGGCAGGAGAACAAGATGAAGCAGGAGAACAGGATGAGGCAGGAAAATATGGCGATAGACGCAAGTAATGTGAACACAATTAAGAGAAGTAGAGTGAGGACACATACAAAGATATAAAAGAATATTGTGTCGGCAAACGTTTACCCAACAGTAACAAACTTCACTGTTCTCCGTTTATTAACCTTCTTTTCCTGGGCTCCATCTGACTTATTCCCTCGTTCCTATACAGCATACTTGGTAGAGTTTATCAAGGGAAGCAGATAACAGAGGAGATTGTGACTGAATAATACACAAAACGAAGGTAATGACTAAACAGTGTTCCAAGTAGAATATAAGGAGTTACCGACAAAAGTACACTATCAATAGAAGACATGGCATCACTGATATCATCTGATTATTCAGGTAGTTACTTTTCAACAGTTAAACCAGAGCTAAATTAACATTAAAACTTATTTTTAACTGTAAATATGTTTCCATCAAGCTTATAATTGTAGTTTATGATGCATTTAGTTATTCTGAACTCAGGTGGGGCGGTTCATTTTGAAGGTAGCCAGGTGAAAATCGGGTAATAGTCCAGCTGCTAAGGAGAAATATTGTGCATTTTTGACAAAATTTCCCAAACTGCACAAAACTACTGAAGGACATTTGGAATCATATAAGATCGGGTACTTTCCCTTATGAAGAGGATTTTTACACCAAAACAAGTTTTAAAGTGTGCCGAATTAAATTTTTCACATTTCAGTACTTTTAGAAGAATATTTTTCACGATGGCGGTAAAGATGGCCCACCATATACACATAATCATAAGTCATATCAGTTCAAGCCTTTTTTCAAACTGTTTATTTTTATAGCAATAATTAACATAAACAAATTTATAAAAATAAAATCATAAATGCTTTAATAAGGAATTATATCATGATAAGAAAAATGCTACTGTGGTGAGAAGGACCTGAACATGGTCAACGCTGGGTGGTGAGAAGGACCTGAACATGGCCAACGCTGGGTGGTGAGAAGGACCTGAACATGGCCAACGCTGGGTGGTGAGAACATGGACCTGGGTGGTGAGAAGGACCTGAACATGGCCAACGCTGGGTGGTGAGAAGGACCTGAACATGGCCAACGCTGGGTGGTGAGAAGGACCTGAACATGGCCAACTCTGGGTGGTGAGAAAGACCTGAACATGGCCAACGCTGGGTGGTGAGAAGGACCTGAACATGGCCAACTCTGGGTGGTGAGAAGGACCTGAACATGGCCAACGCTGGGTGGTGAGAAGGACCTGAACATGGCCAACGCTGGGTGGTGAGAAGGACCTGAACATGGCCAACTCTGGGTGGTGAGAAGGACCTCTGGGTGGTGGTGGCTAACCTGGTGGTGAGAAGGACCTGAACATGGCCAACTCTGGGGTGAGAAGGACCTGAACATGGCCAACTCCGGGTGGTGAGAAGGATCTGAACATGGCCAACTCTGGGTGGTGAGAAGGACCTGAACATGGCCAACTCTGGGTGGTGAGAAGGACCTGAACATGGCCAACTCTGGGTGGTGAGAAGGACCTACAGATAAGGACACCGTGACGACATCCAGACTGAAACATCCAACTCCGACTCGGTCTTATGTACAGTTCTGTTCAGAATTTCATGATACTCTGGCGGTGGAGTTAACATAGCGTGTTGCACCCTTCCTGGACGGATCACTTCGCTGAACCACCCACCAACACACAGATACAAGTGACGACTCATCAAAAAGAGATGGGAAGGATAATAATATGAATATCGGCCAACGTTACTGCTGATGAATGATGAAGGTGTGTTAATATCCTGCCTACGAGAAGACGAAAACCATAGTGATAATCCATTTCAATATCAAAATATAATGGGGACAACGGATGTGAATCATTGATCATTATAAATGAACATCATGCAACAGTAAGTGATTCGTTTATTTGCTCACTTGGATTCATGAAGAGGTAAGTGAGGAGACAGGACTTTTGTTGGCGAGTGTACCTAATGATATAAAACTGGGTAGACGAGAAACGTTATTGAAGACGTGATTCGCGTGTGTGGAAAATTGGCTTTTATTTTGTTAGAATATACTTAATCCCCTGGTAATTTAGAACCTTCTTTAGGTGTATTCGGTACGGTTACTACTTCACCAGTTCTGGATAACCCTTTATTACCAAGTTAAGTATAGGGACATGTAATTAAAATGGAACCAAACAAAGTTTACTCCTGGACGAGAGAAGACCGGCGCTCGTGTGAAAAGGTGAGGTATTAAATAAACATCTTGTGTCTCTATTTTTGTTGACTGATACGGCCAGACGGAAGGCTACCTTTTCTGCACCATTGTAGATTTTTCTCAAACATACGACTTGATTCTAAGAAATATTCTATTAAAGTGTTGAGGCGAAGCCAAGTATCGTGTGATAAACAATGTTATTGGAACGGCTTCATCGTCAACAGCCATAGGAGTACGACAGGATTCACCCACATCCATTCTTTTGTTAGTTTTGTTTATCAAAATAATTAAAATCATAAAAGAAAAGTGTGAACCATAAGAGTTTTTTCATGTTACAGGTCTAGGAGCAGAAGGAACATGTTAAGGTACTGTAAGTGTCAATAATACAACAGTGGTGTGAAATCAATGGCATGAAGATTAACCAAAGAAAAAACGCAATTTCTATGAATAAAAAGAAATATTGTGATATGAAGCGGATGTGAGTGATGGTTAGGTGTCTTATGCTGTCAAAGCTCATGGGAATGTGCCATGTGGTGAAAATTATGACATGAATAATTTTGTGATGAATGACCTTCTTGCTAAACTTGGCCTTGGGGATTTCCCTTAGGGGTACCGAATATGTACGGTACAGACTAGCCTTCGTGGTTTTCTCTGTGGATCGCGGAAAAAGCACATGAACAAGCTGACTGACGGAGGCGACTGACAGGTAGTATCATCTGGGGATGGGTTGTGAACTAGGCTGTCTTCACGGCCCCTAGCCTTCCCTCTTACCTGGTTATTCTGCTGTGTCCTGGTGATGACCTGTAACCTGGTAGTAGTGGAGACCTGGATCCTGTTAGAGAAGGCCGTCTCCGTGACCCGTTGCACCTGTGTTTGCGTCAGGTGCTGGGTGTCCGTGATGATCCTCGCCCGTGTGACGTACTTGGTCTCAGTCAACAGCTGTAAAAAGAGAAATAACCAAGTACAGTGACGATAGTAAGATATGGAGGTCAGCAACTGAAGTTAATTTACATCGTCGCAGACTTTAGGAACTCCCTGACCAGACACCTTCAGTCTCCTTCTCCCTATGAATCAGCTCCTTCCCGTGTCTAACCTCTCCAGCTCAACACATGAAAACGTCTCTCAGTTAACCTACTTGCCCTTCTACATCATCCATCTTATCCAAATAGTCTTTCTTACACTATCTTTCCCAGTGTTCACCATTCTCTGTGTCTCTCCCTAAGAACTACTTCGTTCTTATCTCTATCCTTCAGTCCTCTCGCCCTTCTATCCCACCTGTGTCTGAGTCTGGATGATAGGAGGCACGACGGAGGTGATGACGTCTCTCTGCACTATGGTCGTGGGGTAGATTCTGGTTTGTGTGATCTCCCGGAACACGGTGGTGGGGATGGCGCGGGTCCTGGTGCTGATGAGGGTGGTCGGCACCAGGCGAGTGGCTGTCACTATGGACACCTGCACGTTAGGCTGGCATCCACCTCCCCCTACACCCCCGCCTCCGCCGCCTCCTCCAGTTCCCCCGTTAAAGCCACCGTCAGGAGCGCCGTACCGGACATTGAGATCACCTGCAGCGTCGATGGCTTGGACCTGGAATGCAGTTGTGTCATATATATATATATATATATATATATATATATATATATATATATATATATATATATATATATATATATATATATATATATATATATATATATATATATATATATATATATATATATATATTGATGATGTCAAATTGTTGCCCATGAAGAAACCTGTGAATATTTATAGTCAAGTAAATACGGTCTTTGTTTCTCTTAGTGAATTTGAATCATACAGCTTCACTTTATTAATAATTACATGAAAAATAACAGCATAAACTGACTTTATATTTCTAATTTCATTCTTTCGGATAAATGTAAGATACTAACATGAGTGAAGCCGAAGTCCTGGCCTTGGCCCAGGTTGAGGCCTTGGCCCAGGTTCTGTCCAAGGTCAACATCAAATCCTTGGTTCAATCCTTCTCCGTAACTAAGACCCCTTTGGTCAAAACTCCCTTGGTTGAAACTCTCTTGGTTAAATTCTCCCTGACTGAAACTCCCTTGGTTGAAACCTCCCTGGCCGACACCACCGCCGCCGATGCTGTTGTAGTCTTGAGGGGAGGCGGTGACTATCGCCAGCACGGCCGCTAAGACACAAGCTGCGCCACACATCCTGTGGGACACATACTCTTATGACACACAACTAAGATATCTATCATGTATACTTGACTTATTCAGAGTTGGACAAGTTTGTGTATTAATGTATTAACACTTTTATTTCATTGTATACCCCTTTGCCTTAGAAGGCTTCAGCAGTGTATTAAGAACATTGAAATTATGAGAACAGTGTGTGGATATTACCGTGAGTATCTCAACGTCAAGTTCACGTTAAAATCTGATGTAGATTAGAAAGATTAGTGTACAGTCGGGGACAAAAGTTCGCTCCCCGTGGGGAAAATGAGTCACGGGAACAAGTCTCTGAACTGACTTACCCTGAGTGTCATGTGGTGCAGTTGTGCTGTTTTTCTTTTATTTGGAATCGATATTGTTTCAGTTTGGGAGGGAGCGAACCTTTGACACCTGCCCATGGCTGTCATGATTTTGAAATAATAGTTTTGATGAATATGAAGAGCTGAATACAATTTGGTATCTATACTAATTAACTTAATCTATACAATTTAAATCATCACATCCACGAGACATTAATGGGTTGATTATATCCTTCTCTCTAATAAGACTTCCCAGAGTATTTAAAAGTTGTTGGAAAATAATTATTTCCGGGGATAATTTGGATCAATGTGTTATATAAACAACGACGAAGCTTTTATGTAGCTAAAATATGAACACTTTTGAACACACACACACACACACACACACGTCGAGTTCTATATGTCCCCGTCTTTAGAAATTTGTCGATCATTTATAAGCAAATAGATCAAATCCTACAACGGGGATATCTGTGTCACTTGACGTGTTTATAACAGACGTGTCCTGAGAAGTACCTCATTTAAATATCAGCTGACTGCTCTCTTCTGTATTCTTCACGATTTCGCCGCGACCACAACACCCACCACATCACCTTGACGAGTGGTCAGGTGTGGTGATGAAGGATGAGCCAGGCAACACCGAGAGGTCATCACCAACTAACATTACCAATACCTGTTAATGTTCTACACCAGAGACGCTACAGGTAACCTATATACTATTTATGTTAATTGGGTTGTTAGTACGACCTTGTTTGTGGCCAGAAAACGACTGGTCAGGAAATAGTTAGTGGTCATAACTCATAAGTGAAGGTTAATATTATACGGCAGTTGTTTTTTTTCTAACCATGATTAAATTTTATTGTTATTGATTTTGTTTTTGGTGTTTAACAATGTCTTTTGTATTGTGGTGTGTTGTTGTAAGTGTTATTAGTGTTTTGTGTTATTGCAATTGGTGTTAATTTTATTCCTGTTATGGTTTTTGTTATTTTGTTTCGTAGTCATTGTTGTTGTAGTTGTTATTAATATACGTTGTTGTTGCAGCTTTTCTATTTATTTTTGTTTAATTGTTTTATGTCGTGTATTTGTTGTTAAAATTCTTACTTGTTGCTGTTTTTCTTGTTAGTGTTTTTGTGTAATTCAGATTAATGTCTGTGTTTGGCTATTGTTGTAATAATTGTTAATGTTTTTATTGCTGTTGTTTTGGTAATTGTTTTTAAGCGTTTATCTCTTTTATATTAGATTTTAGTGTTTTTTGTTGTAGTTGTTATTTTGTTTTGTGAGCGTTATTGTAATTATTGTTATTTGTTTTAGTATTGTAGTCATTGTAGTTATTGTTAAAGATTAGGTTTAAGTGTATTGTTGCTGTAAATGTTGCTGTGTTGATTAATGTTGTCAGTGATGTATTTGTGAAAGCTTTTATTGTTATTTTTATCAATATTTTGCCTTTGTAAGCATTTAAGTTCTTGTTGTTTTGTTTGTGTTGTTGATAAAGTTGTTGGTGTTGTAGTTATCGTGGTTGTTATTGTCGCTGTAGGTAATTGCTCTATGCATTATTCTCCTTACCAATAACATCCTCAGAAACTCGATGTGAGAAGTCTATGGTATATCTTCCTATATGAGATAAATCGTCCTAACATCACCATAATCCTTTTAAGAAAGTTTTAAAATTATTAAATCCATCTTATGATAGTACAGGTAGAAAAGTACAGGTAAGAAAAACTGATTAGGTAAACAGAGGGAAGAAAGTACAGTTGGTGGAATTACGACTATGCAGGGCGGTCAGCTGCACCCCACGCGGTTTCCCCCGGCCTTGCTGGATCGTACACAGAGGAAAGCTAGTAATTTTCTCCCCAAGAAGCATCAGTGTAGAGCAGGGTCGCGAGCACCGCCTTGGACCCATCTGCTAATGACTGTAACCATTCATTCCACTACATCTAATTATAGACAGTAATTATAATGAAACGTCAAAGTTATTATTATAATTTACTACAATAACGTGTAAGTGTGTTTGCTTATGTTTGTGTTTCAATGCATGTTTGTTTGTGATGTAATTGTATATGACTGTGTGTGTGTGTGTGTGTGTGTGTGTGTGTGCTGAGAATAAAGCCAACTTCCCTCCCCCGTACTGTACATACCATAGAAAATTCTCAGCACGTCAGGAACTTAAAAATCACCGAGTTTCATTCATGTCAACCCGGTCACAGGAGCCATAATAGTGTTTTTGATACAATAGATATGATTGAAGCTGTGCTGTAGCCTTGATAAACTAATGGTACAGTAAGTTTTTTTAGTTTGGTAAGAGTTGAATAGGTTTAGTGGGAGTAATGATCTGGTAATGGTGGTGATAGTCTTCATGGTAGTGATATTGATAAGTTGAATTTTGTTTACCACTTAACCTCCTCAGTGCTGGAAATTTTCTCTAAGCTGATGAAAAATCCTAGGTTTCAAGAACACTCAACGGGTTATTGTGAAAGGGTGTTTTAATACATTCTAATAATAATATGGCACCTCTAATCTAATATGGTGGTGGTTTTGATAGTTTTATGTAATAATGAGGAACTAATGTGACAGGTTTTAATGGTAGTCATGGTGTGATACGGTAGAAATGATAAGGTTGGTACTACCTATAATCTAGAATGGTGGTGTTTTGGTAGATGAGATTATAGTCTGTAATAAAATTATCTCGACCGCTCCATCTCAAAGGGGAAAATAATGGAGCCATCTTTATGTGGCTTCACCATAAAAAAAAAAATTGGTGGATGATTGATAGAATAATGGTGTTATTATGGTGAGTCATGACGGATCAATCCCGTGTTTATGGTGCTATCATGGTGGATCTAAGGAAGGAACACGCAATGAACCTGGACTTGTGGTGGTGTGGAGTGGCAGTGCAATAGTGAAATTATCATGCGTTTATGACAGATGCATGACGATCATAGGAGAATCATAGCAGACTTATGGTGGTAAGGAGGAGCACGTGGAGGTACAGCGTGGTGACTGATCTGGATAATAAGTGGTGTTGTACTATCTGGCGTCCATGCCGTGTGTCTGTGTGTTGTGTTAATATATGAGTTAGTGTACAGTAAGTGTGTCCTTATGTAAGTGTGCATGTATTGTATACATCAGGTGTTCAATATATAAATGAATGTATATAATTTTGTTTATGAGACAGTTGCACGTCCAGGTGTGCATCTCTGTCTGTCTTTCTGTCATCATAATGTGGAAAGCATCTAGAAGTGTAAGTAACAAGAGTGCAGAGGTCTTATTGCAACTATATCTTGCGCTAGTCAGGCCGCACCTCGATAATGAGGTTCAGTTCTGGTGCCCTTATTATAGAATGGCTATCAATTCACTGAAGTCGGAGCGGCGAAGAATGACGAAAATGATTCCGGGACTTAGAAACCTTCCATATCAAGATAGATTAAAGAAGCTAAACTTGCCTTCCCTAGAACTACGAAGAGTGCGGGGAGATATGATAGAAGTATTTAAGTGGGTGAAAGGAATCAATAAAGGGGATATAGATAAAGTTCTTATAATATCCGAGCAGGATAGGACTCGTAGCAACGGATTTAAGTTGGATAAATTTAGGTTCAGGAGGGAGATAGGAAGGAAATGGTTCACAAATAGGGTGGTAGACGAGTGGAACAAGCTCAGCAACTTTGTAGTAAGTGCTGGGACGCTGTAAAGTTTTAAAAGGGGGCTAGATAGATTCATGAATGATAGAGAGTGGTAGTAACTCTCGACAGAAGCTGCCAACCGGCCTATTGCAGACTCCTTATTTTCTTATGTTCTTATCAAAGGATTTCCCCGAGTACTAACCAAACATCCGCTTAACATCATAATGCAATTAACTGGCACAAAGTACCCCGCTCTCCTACACTAACATAAACACAGGTTAATAATCCGGCGCAACTATTTAAACTAGTGGTGTTAATGACCTTTCAAAAACCACAAGTGATAACCACACACTGTTATCTTAGTTAACCACCTACACTCTGTTAACACAAGAAACCACACACTATAGCACAATATGAACACCATACTGTTAACATCGCTAATTATCTAATAATTCCAAGCACTATGAAGCATTATCATCCTTCTTGTAAAAACCCGATCTAATCATTTCATCGAACAATGAGTAACCCCAGAGTGTCGTAAGCGTGGTGAGGGAGAGGGGGTAACAGTCATCCTTCCCTTATGGCGTCCAAGGCAGAGATGATGTGTCTTTGAGAATTAGTGAAATAAAAACAATTAACTCTCCTCAGCCGCTATAAGTTGGTAACATCTCATTCTTAGTTGCTGTAACCATTGGAAACCCTTCAGTAGCTGCCTTATACCTACAATTTCAGTCCCGGTAAACATTTTCGAGATTTATTACTGCATTGTGGCAATAAGAACATTATCTTTTATTGCAGTAGTCAGCCCAGACGTGCCTTACCTTAGATGATGGATGTTTATCGCACGTGTGGGGTGTAATTTCAATGTACGGCCAATAGCAATGCATAATCAGTTCATAATCACTCTTATATTCTCAACATTGTACTGTGCAGGTTTTATTCGTGCAGTGTTCCTGTACACGACTAATGTTTTATATAATCATAGTTACTGTTAGTTGCAGGGAGGTGAAGTGTGCGTTAGTTTACCTGTCCAACTTACGATCCCAGAATATCTGGTCAACACAGCCTCA